GAGTGGACGTTGCTATCGAAACAAGCGTCCAAGTCCAAACGGACAAGATGCTTATCGCGAAAAAACCAGCCACGACCATACACGCGAAGGCAACGACCTCGGAAAATGAATTCCTCCACCATACGCCCGTTCACGAGCATGGTAGATGGTATTTCAGGTCCGAGAAAATGCAGTCGATACCGCGAGCCAGCTAGTCCAGTTATTGCTGGCAGACTGCTGTATCTCCCCATTAGGAAGCGTGGTTTCAACATGCGCAGCATGTCGAAAAGAGCGTGCTCTTCGTGTTTACCTTGTAACCCAGCAAGTAAGTCGACATAGCACCCATCCAATGCATGCTGTTGTTTGAGGGCAATTGTGACCATGCTGGTGCTCTTGCACTTAGCGGTGTTAGTCAAGATGCGAACTTTCAACGACACACCAACGAGGTGCTGCAAGGTCATCACGCTCGCGATCCCCCAGCGTACGATGCGATTTTGGAGGTCCTTTCACACCTTTTCACCGTCAAATGGTTGTCATGGAGCAGGGACGCCATCGCAGCGTCCTCGCTGATGCTCTTGGTATGTTGACCCGTGTTCATGTGAAGCCAACCAATTATCTCACGCATGTCACTTTGTTCGACAGGCAGCGTATACTCAAAGATCAAGGTTCGAGCAGCGTGCTTGACAAGCAGCGGCTCAAGGTCCTCCATCGACGGCAAATGCGCGTCGATGTCGTTGGCACGGGGGGCTTGGGCTGCTGCGGCACGTTGTGCAGCGAAGACTGCCCATGGGTCACCTCGGGTGGCCGTGGTGCGTACAGCCGGCGCGGGGGGGGTTGCTGCGGGGGGTGCGTTGGGTGGTTGTGCCGTGCGCGTGACGTCGGCTGAGCAGTTCATCCCACCATCAAGAAGGTCCGGAGACGGGTCTTGGGAAGGTGCGGATGACTCGGCAGCGGGGTCAGCGGCGGCGGAGTTGGCAGCAGTCACGTCGATGCGGTCATGCTCATTGACGTGACTGGGAGGACCAGACATGTCGTCGTCTGGCCGGTCCCCAGCGACAGCAGTAGCAGCGCGAGCATGAGGCTCGA